GTCAATTCTTCCTACTCGCTGTTATATGATATTTAAGCCGCTGTGTTGCCTTTTTGCTTATAGCCTATAACATTGTTTTATAAATTCTTTCTCTACCTTCGTTTTCTAAAATATTTTTCTTAAAGTGAAGCTAGAGGCTTGTGTATAAGTCGTCACGCGAAAGGCGACACAGTTTTGAGTTGGCTGACTCACTCAGTGGTGAGAGTGAGTGCCACACAATCACTTACAAACGTCTCGTAAGAACGTGATTATGACACCTAACACAAACAAACCGGGGAACCCACAATCATTTTCACTCTAAATTCAAGTGTAACCGTCCCGTTCTTCAGCCATTTTCTTTTTGTTTGATTTTGAATTCGACCATCGAGTAACTTACTCGCTTGATTGTTGGGAAAGAAGAAAAGGGGGGAAATATGTGCTTCAATCTGTTGAATTATTGTGTTTTCTTTTCATGGGGCCCTTCACTTTCACAAAAAAAGAATGTCTTATATGGAATTGGGAACTTGGTTTTTTCTCCATTTTGTGCTGTGCCCTTTTGGTTGAAATGAAATGTTTTGGCTGTTTAGTGAGAGCCATTATTAATGAACCGTCCTTAATCATGAGTTCGATGTGTTTGTCTTTCCTCACTCAAATAGTAGGGTCACTTACTGAGTATTTCCTTAAATTACTCAAACCATGTGCTACTTCTATTTCGGGTAAAGGTAAGGCAACCTTGTACGGCTGACAACGGCATCTCAAGTCAAGATCATGGCACATGCATATGATAGTGGTAATAGTGGAGTCACTTGCTGAGTATTTCTTAAACTACTTAAGTCGTGTGCTACTTCTATTTTAGGTAAAAACAAGTCATTTCTATACGGCTAACGACGGCATCGCAAGTTAAGATCATGACACATGCATAGGATAATTGATAAGATAAGGAAATCAACTACAAGGGGAGTAAGATTCGGATTACCTTGTTGATCGAATATCTCAAGGCAAGAACATTGTTTGAGATTCGAATCACTTCACAAGCAAGATCGGTCAGGTCTAGCTTGAATGATTCTTGTTGATCAAATATCTCAACGCAAAAACACTTGTTTGAGATTCGAATCACTCCACAAGCACGATTGATCATGTCGAGTTTGAATGATTCTACATGCAACCTAAACTACATAGAATTGCAAAGAAAGTTAACCATTGGTTAAAGAAGAGCACAAATGCTTCTTTTAAGTCTTCTTACAAATACAACGTACATGGCTTTATATAGCCTCAAAATGAAAATATTAAAGGCATTCCAGGAGTTGTAACATTCATACTTAATGGTCATAATTAACCATTATGTAATTGTAACCTAAAGTAAATAAAAAGTCTTAAAATACATTAATGAAATATAACTCTAAATTACTCTAATAATCCACCCAAAATTTATAACATGAAACTTCATTCTTCTTCAACGTGGCATGAATTGAAATATTTTTTGATAATTTCAATAATATTTTCTTCACATCTTCATTGAAGCATATTATATGATTAATGTCTCTTAGTTCATGCATAGGATAACGGTATCTTATTTCTTAGACTTTAGGTTAAGATAGAGTTGTTTTTACTTTTATTGTTTTTTACTTTTACTTACGGAGTATTTCTTAAACTATTTGAGATAAAGACAAGACATACATGTACGGCTGACGACGACATTGTAAATCAAGACCATAACACATGTATATGATAATGGTATTTTATTTCTTAGACTTTAGATTAGGATACAGTGTTTTTACTTTTATTTATTTCATTTAGCATTTTGTTACGTTGTTTTAAAGATGTTTTCGAGTATGTAAATCCATGACAATGTTTTATGATCAAATTTTAAAAGTTTAATTCTGCATAAGAGTATAGGTTATGATGACGGTAACTGAGTTTAGGTTAGTAGAAATTTAGGGTCTGATTGATTGTTCGATCGATGAAAAGATCTTCAATCGATGCTTTTAGGTAGAAGAACTGCATGTGTTGTAATTATTGCAGGTTTCTTTTCCACAACACCTTGATGTCTCTGGTAAGGAGAGTAGTCTTTGCTTGACAGTTCTATTCCTTTATATCAGGTAAAACTAGTTGTAACCTCAATGGTGCTAGGTAAAAACTTGAAATGTATAGACATTGGTGCTTTTGAGTCTACCTTCAACTATCCTTTGGTTGGTTGAGATTTTTGGAGATAAATTTGAACTTCGAAAACTTAAATTTTATTGCGAGATCCCACGTCGTGGAGAAGAAAATGAAGCATTCCTTATAAAGGTGTGAAAATCTCTCATTAGCAAACGTGTTTTAGAACTGTGAGGCTGACGGCGATACGTAACGAGCTAAAACGGATAATATTTATTAGTGGAGGGCTTGGGCTGCTACAATTGGTATCAGAGTCAGACACCGACGGTGTGCCAGCAAGGATACTGGCTCCCAGGGGAGGTGGATTGTGAGATCTCATATCAGTTAGAGAGAAAACGAAGCATTTCTTATAAGGGTGTAGATACCTCTTCCTAGCAAACGCATCTTAAGATCATGAGGCTCACGGCGATAAGTAACAGGCCAAAACGAACAATATCAGTTGGAGAGGAAACAAAGCATTCCTTACAAGGATGTGGATACCTCTCCCTAGCAAATGCGTTTTAAGACCATGAGGCTGACGGCGATAGGTAATAGGTCAAAACGAACAATATTTGCTAGTAGTGGGCTTGGGTTGTTACAAATGGTATCAGAGCCTGACACCGTGCAGTGTGCTAGTGAGAACACTGAGCCCCCAAGGGGAGTGGATTGTGAGATCTCCAAGGAGGGTGGATTGTGAGATCTCACATCGGTTGGAGAGAGGAACGAAACATTCTTTATAAGAGTGTGAAAATCTCTCCCTAGCAGACGCGTTTTAAAATTGTGAGACTGATGGCGATATGTAACTAGCTAAAGCAAACAATATCTGCTAGTAGTGGGCTTGGGCTGTAACAAATGGTATCAAAGCCAGGCACCGGACTGTGTGCCAGTGAGGATGTTGGACTCGCAAGGGGATAGATTGTGAGATCCCACATCGATTGGAGAGAGAAACGAAGCATTCCTTATAAGGATGTGGAAACCTCTCCCTAGCAAACGCATTTTAAAACCTTGAGACTGACGGTGATACATAATGTGCCAAAGCAGACAATATATGCCAGCAGTAGGCTTGGGTTGTCACAAATGGTATTAGAGCCAGACACCAGGCGATATACCAGCTCGGACGCTAGGCCCCAAGAGGGGTGGATTATGAGATCTCACATTGGTTGAAGAGAAGAACGAAACATTCTCTATCACAATGTGAAAACCTCTCCCTAGCAGACGCATTTTAAAACCGTGAGGCTAACGACGATACATAACAAGCCAAAACGACCCATACCTACTAGCAGTGGGCTTGAACTTGGACGACGGTTACACTTACCGCCCATATTATCATAAACTTATTCACTTAAAACCTTGGTTGTCTTGTAAGACCAGCTGCTATAGAATAGACAAAGGCTCTCAAAAGATTAGTGGGAAGTGGGTCATATGCATAAGATGAGTGGAACCCACAAAACCCAGATGCTAAAACTTAAACTAAAGCTAATTAATCAATAAAATAAAAGGTAATGGTATGTTTGAAGTACAGCAAATGGGTTTAGTGTTTCTGACAAAAGTTATGGGTTCCTGTGAACAGGAGAGATCTATAAGGAATAATTGTGGTCTCTTTCTTTCTTCTCTTGAATCATATGGATGAGCTTATTCTCAGTACACCATAGCTCTAAGGGTATTATTCTCTTCTGCATCTCTTTATTGTGTCGTTTTATCTTTATGTTCTTTCTCCCCAGGAATCATTTGTTGCCTATTCTTGTTCTTTTTCATAGAAAAATAGGTACACAAACCAGACATGCCTTCACTTTCGACAACCTTTTGTTTTGCTCACGTTAATATCCATATCGTCACTGTTAATGTATGGATGGTTTTTGAAATGTACTTTTGAGCTGAAAGTTTCGTGAGAAAACTCGAGGAACGATTCAACATCGCTATCGGTTTATGACTGTTAGATGAAGAGAAATTGTTTCCATGAGTGTGTCCATAATGTGTTCATGAAAACCATGATCCTAGAATGATTAATTCTGAAAGCATATAGTTTATGTTTGTTTGCTCTTCTACTGTGTGAGTATATATGGATGAACAATCATTACTGAGGTGAGGTAGGTGAGGTAAAAGTAATGATTCTGAGTATGGGGTTAGTGCATGTAATTATTTGATTCAAATGTTATCTTGGAAATTTAGGAGATGATCTGAGCAAGATGGCTGTAAAACCTCCTCCAACTTTCTGAGCACCTTAACTTAGCTCATCCATGGTGACTGGGTTTAGTTTGGACTAAAATCTGTCTTTTTGAAATTACCAAGAAGCCATTCTTATTATGAGATTCCACGTCGATTAAGGAGAATGGAACATTTTTTATAAAGGTAGATATCGAGCGGTGTGCCAGCAAGGATACTGAGTCCGAAGGGGGTGGATATCGGGCGGTGTGCCAGTGAGGACGTTGGGCCCCGAAAGGAGGGTGGATTGTGAGATCCCACATCAATTGGAGAGAGGAACGAGTATGAGGACGTTGGGCCCTGAAGGAGGATGGATTGTGAGATCTCACATCGATTGGAGAGAAGAATAAGTTATGGACACTGTGCCCCGAAGGTGTGTGGACTGTGAGATCCTACCTCGATTGAAGAGAAGAACAAGTGCCAGTGACGACGCTGGGACCCGAAGGTGGGTGGATTGTGAGATCCTACATCAATTGAAAAGAAGAACAAGTGCCAACGAGGATGCTGGCCCTCGAAGTGGGTGAATTGTGAGATCCCACGTCGGTTAGGAAGAAGAACGGCGCATTCTTTATAAGGGTGTGAAAATCTCTTCCTAGCATACACGTTTTAAAAACTTTGAGGGAAAGTTCAAAAGGGAAATCCTAAAAGAAGACAATATTCGCTAGCGGTGAGTTAGAGCTGTTACACTTATTTTGGGTCCGAGACAGAGAGGCCATTCTTTTGCTTTCTTTAAGATTGTTGCTTCAGACAAAGTATAGTATTCACTAAGCTACGCATCACAATTAAAAGGAAAAAAGTGCAGCAACCAAAAAGTGTGCACAGGTTAGCTATGGAATGGGAAGTATTGGATGCAAACTATCCTTCAAAACTTTAGAAACTCTTAAGAAACTGATTTAGTTTATAGCAGATGATATCAGAATATAAGTAACTGGCATCACAGAGGATCTTGGGCATCTTCTTCTTCCTCTTCCCTTGGCTTCTGTAAGTGCTTGCTTTTTGTTTATTATTCTCTTCTCATTCTTCTTTTAACACTTGCACATACACGGCCACCCCCACCCAAATGTGGGGAGCGCTCGATATCTTAATCATTGAAGCATGTAATGTAACAACTTAAGGCCACCGCTAGTAGAGCTTTCATACCCTTATAAAGGGTGTTTTGTTCTCCTCTCAATCGATGTGAGATCTCACAATTCATCTCCATTTGAGGCCAGTGTCCTCACTGGCACTCTGTTCCCTTCTCCGATCCATGGATCCATGTGGGACCCCCCAATCTACACCCTTTCGGGGCTCGGCGTCCTTGATGGCACACACCCCCCTTCGGGGCTAAGCCTCCTCGTTGGCATATCGCCCGGTGTCTGGACAGCCCAAGCCCACCGTAGCAGATATTGTCCTCTTTGGATTTTCCCTTTCAGGCTTCCCCTCAAGGTTTTTTAAAACGTGTCTGCTAGGAAGAGGTTTCCACACTCTTATAAAGAATGTTTCGTTCTACTCCCCAACCAAAACCGAAGTGGAATCTTACCTATAAGAATATGAAAAACAAAATATATTGGAAGTTCCTTCTTTTCTGCAGTTAGCTGAAGATCTAGAAAAGATAAGACAAAGACCCCTTCCCCCCACTTGACTCTATAAGGTGTGTGTGGTGTTGTTCCTTGTAGAATTGCCCTTATAAGATGTTTGCCCCTCTTGTATCAAAATTCGTGGCTCTGCCATGGGGATGGGATTCAAATAAGAATACTGAGAAAATCTGTTTCTTTTCAGAGCTAAGGGTCGTCAGCAGCAATACATTCTTATGTGGAAGCCATTTTCATCAGAATCAGTTTTTCTCCAAGCATTCAGTTGAAGAAGATTGAAACCACAGAGGTATGAGTGAGGTTGGTTCTGAAAGATCAGAGTCATGGAACATATACACGACTTCAGAGCAGAGCCCATCATCATCTCAAACAGGCATTGGTCAAGAAGCTCCATGGAAGAGCTTTGGATCCTCCATGAATGCCATTTCCTTTGGCTTTGTTGCCACTGCAATCTTGATATCAATGTTCCTTATCATGGCAATCTTTGAGCATCTGTTTAGACCAACATCTCCTTTCTCCTCATCTGAAGTGACCAACAACTCCGCAGAATCAGGTCCTGCCGAGAAATTCATAAGTCCTAATACGGTACGTCTCGACCTGGGTTGTTTATCTTTATGTTTTAAGTTTCTTGGCTTGTGGGATTTAGATTCTTGTAACTCTTCAGTGCTTTCCCCTTCACTTGAAATAAGTGTTTCAGTTGCTGAGACTTTAAACTACTTCATATCATTATAGAATAAGCCTTCTTCCCCCTGAACAGATTTGCTTAGAAGATCAGTTTAAGACAACTTAAAGCCAACTCTTCTCATCTAGAATAACTACAAGTATGCTTGTCTGAACCACTCTTTTACTTCATCAAACAGGACCATAGAAGCTAACATTCTTTAGGAAATCAAGTGTTTCGAGTCTAGAATAATTATAAATACGTTTATCTTTCATATCTCGGTACTTTCTAGAATATGCGGAGATATCTATAACAGTCATACATTTTTTTCACCCTTCATACTTTCTTCTTAGTGCCAAAACTCAGTGGTAGAAAATGATACCTCGAGACTTGAAAGTAGATATCTTTTTCTCCAGTACAAACCGGTATTGAAGTTGATTTGTATGCATCTTGATCGATCACACGACATAGAATCGTACCAGACTCGTTTCACCAGCAGCTTCATAAGCTTCATCTCTTGACAAAACCTACACAGAAAACAACTGTTATTTCCTAACTAGTTTTGTTACTACCAAATCTAAAAAATAACTGTTCTCTTTGTCTTCTTCAAGAACATCATCTTTTATCATAACAGTGACAAGACACAGAACATCGACACAAACCAGTACCCATCATTACAGAATACATGCTTTTCTTTTAAGGTCAAGTCAAGTCAAGTCATTGCACTGAACATTGGAAATGATATGGTTTTGTTTGTTGAGCTTGTGGTTTTTCTATGGCAGGTGCCAACATCATATGCGTCTGATTTCTCAGTGTTGATGCCAGGGCAGGACATCCCCACCTTCATTGCGCAACCAGCTCCTCTGCCATGCCAAAGAGAGAGGATTTATTGGCCATCTCATGACCATAATTTTTTAGGTCCTTGAGGCAAATATATGGTATTTCTTGCCACCATAGAAAGCAGTTACTGTATTTAGGAAAACTATCAGCTTTGCTTTTTCTCAGAATAATAATACTTTGTGCTTCTTCACCCACAGGGAGATTTGCCAAATGCTGATACTTTTTTGTTCCCAGTTTCTCATCTGTAAATTGATTATCAAAGAAGTCAGCAGTATTTACACGATTCTACTTGTTTGATAAAGATTTGAGATATAAGTAGAAATCACCTCACTTTTATGCTCATCATTTTAGGCTGATGGTGAATCTCCGCTTCTTGTCTATTGCCAAATTTGAGAAGGGGTAATGTAAAACCTTACTAAATCAAGTACATAAAGATTAATGACGAGAATTAAATTATGTATTCAAGAACTAAAAATAAAACCGAACAACATTGAAACTTATATTGTATGGCACTCATTTTTCTTATGGATACAAGCTTACAGATAACCTTCATGAGAGGAAGAAAAGGCACTCGGGGAAATTATGTTGACCCTGTAATATAATATCATCATCCTCACTCGGGGCTCAAAAGTTTCTCAGTGAGGAACAGCTTCAAGATTCAAGAATTTAAAGAGTGTTTGTTTGAAAGCTTTCATTCACAAACATGGCTAACAAGCACAAGAAACATTTGAAATCTCTACTTATTCACAGAAGACCTGAAAATGTTATGTACAAATATTACGTGAAAAGGTGCAAGAACCTTCAATGTGTTGAATTCCCTATTACCTACACAAAAAGTAAATTACATCACCGACATAGATGACTCCTCATTTGAATTGTAACCGAATACACAGCAGAGTCATCCAACGTTGTCTCACTCCTCCTCGAATTATTTCTCTCGGGCTTAATTGGATTGTCCTAAAAGAGGATCTAACTCCTCTCTTAACACTTCTCCTTTTCAGAGCAGTTGAGACCCTTCAGCCTGGTTAGAAGATCTGCTGTTGATTCTCGATAATCTCCAGTCTTCAACCCGCTTGCTTTACAACTTCCATTCATACTTGACACCAATCAAACAAACACAACGAGCTAATTATCATTGATTTCTTCTTCATCCGGTAATATTACAGTTAGTAAGGAAAACCTAACCCGGAGAGAGATCCTCCCCTTCTCCACCATGAGCCTTGCCCCAGAAACAACCCAATACCCAGGAGTATCTTGGGGTCCTCTTTTCATTTCAGTGGTATCTACAAATTTCAGAAGCTTAGGGGCCTGTACAGGCACTGGTGGACCCCCAGGATACACAGCAGAGTTTATAATCACATCAGCTGGTTTTGGAGGTGGTTTCTGAACTGTTGAGAAATGATGACTGATTAGTGTTGATATGAGTCCAGACTTGGCGGCCAGTCCAGGTGAACCTTCCCACTCAGGCTGCCTTACAACCGTTGCTCCCAAAACTGAAGAGAAGCGGAGTCGCAGAAACAGAACATTTTTCATTCCATGATTTACAACCTGCAACTGTGCCCCAGTTACAATTGAGAGATCCTCATCGGCCTCAATAGGAGCAGTGCACACATGAGAAAAGTACTTGGACTGAACTTTTTCAAGATATCTGCGATCGTATGACTCCTGACAGAAGTTGCCATTTGGATCCTCCGTGAGTTGAAAAATTTTGGGTAAAGAGGAGAGGTGTTGCAAGTGGATGGATAAACAGTTGCTTCTTTTACCTTCCAAATAAAGCCGGAGACCCGTAACTGGCCTCCTGCCCACATCAACCTGTGATGAAAGACACAAGTGAATCAAAGGGCTTCAATTATATTTTCTAAAGCTAGAAAGTCACTGAATTCTGGAACTAGTGATTTTGTTCCATTATTATTATTAACCCTGGAATGAGTTAATAATTTGGGTCAAGTAGATTGGTTCTTTTTGTTAACGTTAGGTTTTCAAAGATTCTGCACGACTGTATTCTGAAGTCCAAAGAACCAGCATAACGATACACCTTTTCAAAGATTCTGCAAGACTGTATTCTGAGTCAAAGTAGGAGTCTTGTACCACATCATTGTCAGAATTTCCTACTAATTTCTTGATTCACAAGGCTTGTTGCCAAACTAAGCATAGTTCAATTAGCACAAAGGGTGTCACTTCGACTAAGAAATCAAAAGTTCGAATCTCTCATCCCACATATGGTTGAACTCAAGGACAACAGTAAAGCATGTTTGGATGCTAGTCCGGCAAAGATAAATTAAAGAATAAAAAAAAATTAATGACTTCATCCCTTTTCTTATCATATATCCTATTTTCTGCCTTTGTAAGGATCCAACCATCAACTACATAATTTTGGATGTAGCCAGAGGAAAAGTTTTTCTGAAATGCTTCCAGTAAAGAAATATCTGGCCTAGACTAACTTTCGCATAAATGATGGTAACTGTGTAGAAAATAAAAATATATGCATTAGATAGCAACAATTAATCGTGCATACTTTTTGCATGTTTTAGGGCCAAAACTTTCTGCATGCAAGTATGGTTGCTAGAACTAGATTTCATGTTTTCTTCTTTCGAATGTGACCTTGTACTTCTGCTCCTACTGACATAGTTAAGAATTAGCAAGATATCATGGGGTGGATACATACAAGGTTTTAGATCTAACAATTAGGGTAATTTCATGAAGCCCATAACGGTGTCCAAACCCTTGGGTTGACTATTTGAATATTTCAAGATCCAGCTCTCCCAAGTTACGAATGATAAAAGAAGATTCCAGAATGCAGATTATTCATAATTTTATGCAGTGCGCAGAAAACAAAAACTTCAAGAAAAGAAACCATACTGGAGTAGTATTCACATAAAGCTTTGATCCCATAAGGCTAAACTGTAGAGATGCCAAGTTGTGTTGTTTGCGCTGTGGACCAAGTGGAAGCTCACTGAATATTGGCGCCCATTGCCTTGGGAGCTGAAACTCCAAAAATTGATGAAGCTCTTCAATTGGTGGTTTGTCTGCAATAACAAAAAGGAAGTATTAAAAAATGCAATTGAACACCTTGAGATCCACAGCTAATAACACCAGTAGGTAAATGCACGTAATGCAATGATCAAGGAGAGCCACGATAACCAAAATTTATTTGTACGGAAGGAAAATTATAGTATGGGTTTCCCAATTAAATCAGCATGTTATCACTTCCCTTTTCTTGGAAACTATTCTGAAACAAGACGTCTTTTTCTTGATGTAGTGGGAAGGTGTCATCAACGATTCAAACTCCCAATAGGAGTTCACAAAAGATCACCCAAGTTGAGTAAATTACAAAGGGAATTGAAGAGTGAATAACCCATAAAGGAAGCTTTTCTAGATTAAGTATTTCTTATTTAGTATTATCATTAATTCCTAATAACCCATGGGCCACAACAAATTTCCGCCATATGAATTTAGAAAAACCTATCTCCAGTGGGTATAGATTGCTTCAAACTGGATTAGACAGTCTATAGTCATGTTTCTTGTCTCTGTTTAAGGTCCATTTTTATAATTATTGGTTGTCTTTAATTCTCAACCACGGAGCCCCTTCCTTTTCATAATTCCTTTATACAGGCTCCTTTTGTATTGGATTTTTCATTTTTACTTTCTTTTTTATTGCCTTTGTGCATTATTTCATTTGTTTTGATAAAAGCGATATATGTATATATTTATATAGATAGATATAGATATAAACAAGGCACATTGATGAGCCAGTGCTATCAATTTGGACTTTGCAAGCAGGATGTACTTTACTCACATCGCAGATAAAGATTTATTGCATGGCTCAAGAACCCACTTCCTGGAACTCCATTCAATAAAGAAGTAATTGGGATAAACGACATTGAGATCACGTCTGGCTCCAACTGAACTGTCTGCAACCACTCATGATGAGGGTAGTTAATCCTGTCACTTCCACCTCTTCTCTTGTAAATGGCTAGAATATCCTGGCAAGCAAATTAATTTACTAGAAAATATGTCAAAATAATCCAAAGTATCTCATCATTGTGACAATATAATGATTAATATAAGAGCAAAAGAGATATCCAACAACCCTCTCAACAAAATACAATTAGATTTAGATGAAAACTTTCAACAAATGCCACGCATTTTCAACAAGCTCATAGATCATTTTGTACAAAAGTTAGGGATTATCAGCTTGAGGCCCTAAAGCAACGAAAAATATGCATGCCAAACAACAATTAAATTATTAACAATCATATAAACTGAATTGATACTTTCTTGGATGGGAAGTCTGTTACTTTTAAATCAAAATTTAATGACAGAAGAAAATCACCATTCAATCAGTTCACTGGATGGATATAAGTAAATCTTTTACTTCAACAAGTGGAACACGGCAACAAACCAGTTAATCCAGGAGTCAATAAAATATATAAAGAATGTTACTGTTGAATTAATTAGCAAACAAATACAGTTGTCATTCTCTCTTCTTTTTTTTTTTTTTTTTTTTTTTTTTTTTTTAATGAGTATGATTTATTAAT